TTGTAATTCAGGTGATACTAACTAGTATCAAATTTGATCATTTATCGAACAAGAATTCGAAAGTAAAGATGAATTGCCATCGCCGATAATCGTTCAAGTGTAAATTTCTTATGTTGCAAATGAATGTTGTAAGAGTTGGACAAGTTCAACTTTTACAACAGCTGCCGATTTGTCTGCGATTAAATTACAACAATTACAACAATGACAACACGCGTTTACTTATAGTTGTAATTGCTGCAAACGTCCATCACCGATCGAATTACAACAATTACAACTATATGTGAACTAGGCTTTATGGTAAAGTTGGTGCTGACAGACGAAAAACGTTTTCCTGCAGTTTCTTTTAAATCATGCACTCTTTATCACACTATCTATTAAGAAAGTTCACAAATTTTTATTCTTTTAGCAGCTCAAGAGATAATTGTTTATTCTATACCTGTATTAAAAGTATCTTTGCATAAGTTATGCTTGAATTAATATCTACGATAACATAACTAGATTTCTATCTTCAAGTTCTTATGTATCGAATGTAGTGTGGAATGTCTGAGACTGTTACAGTAGCATTCCGATCGTTCACACGAAATCTTGGACGAAAACATTCAAAATTTAAAATATTTTACGAGTAAAGCTAAACTATCTTTTCAAAGCATTTCTATAATGCCAGAGACAAATTTATCTCCAAATATGGTTTGAATTACTGAATGAGAATACCATAGACGCTCACGAAGCACAAAGCAACCAATATTTGCACATATGTGTCCTTAAATAACCCAGCATGACAGCAGTCGTGGGCGAATATATTATTTTCATTGTCTGTAATGTACAGCTCAATGCATATCAAAGACATGCTGCAATAAATAACTAAAATAAGCAATGATATCGAAATATTAGAAAGGGAAAGCCCATCGAGTATTTCTGTGTAGATATGATTAGTTACATGGAAAACTTTACTTTAGTAAAATACAAAACTTCTTCTGACAGCAAGCGGTGAAAAGGAGACTACTCAGTCTATTCTTCGGCAAACGACAAAATGAATATCAAATGCTTATGAACAGACATGAAAACCAGGCCGTATGCACAAGCTTAATCCACATAGTGGTAAAAAATATCTTATGGTGCCCGACAGTGATTGTTTAATATTATACATGATTTATATATGAGTAAAAATATCCTGCAATCTCGGTTAGATTTCGGTCTCAAAAAAATCCCTTAAACTACGAAAGAGAGTTGTGCAAGAAGTTAATATTTTTAACCGCTGCATACAAACAGAAACCATTGCTTAAACAATAAAAAATATTAAGATGTATAACCGGAGTATTATTTGTGTAATAAGCCAATACACCGGCGTACATCGATGTTATAATAACTAATTATCATATTACAAAACGATGCTAATATGGAGTATTTGATTGCATATATTGAATAAGTTGCAAATAAATCAACACCGAACAACTGACAAAGCAAGACCCAAAAGATAGCATGAAAGAATTAACGACATTGACGTTAACTTTTGGGTCGCGTTTATAACCGGTTAACCGCATCAAGTCCTTTACAGCTATGTACGTATTTTGGTGTTTGTACACTGTAAAAACAATATCCATCAGGAAACCAACAATGATATCGTGTTAAAAAACTTACAGAGCATGACCATGCAACTCTAGAGATGGCTAGGCTATCGCTTAAAAGTAAATAGATTGTCACTTTGTCGTTTGCAAAAGCTCAAATGCTTTGCTTTGCTGTTTTTGTCTTCAATTTAAGAAAATATTTTAATTATTGCTGTGATTAGCGTATTTGTCGTGGTGATTGACAATTGAGTAGTTCTTCAAAGAACAGTTTAACACCAAAATGAGGGTATTACATAAAATTAAAATGACACGATGCATTTCGGCAAACTGCACCATAATTTTATAACTATCTTCATTTCAGTTTTCTACAGTTCTTAAGAACTACTTGAATTGTCGTTCACCAAGACAAATACGTTAATCACAGCATAATTTAAGTTCGTGACCACAATAAAGTCTTTGTTTTAAAAAAAAAAAAGTAATTTCCCTAAAACGTCATTGCAACTCATGCAATTGCCTCAATTCAAATCTGTCACTTAAAACTCTTCCCATACAGGCTATATACACAGTAATAGATTTCTTAATTGTGATTTCCCTACAACATCATTGGAATTGAATTGCGTCAAAGCTGACTTTGCAATATTTTGAGAGCAATGAGCTGCCTGAATTACCTATTACTTATTTTCAAAAACAGACGAGTTGTTTTTTCTTATAGTAACTAACTAATTTGCAATTCTATATAGCTATCAAATAATTTTATGTTCTCGAACAAGTCATGGAGTTCATTTTTTGAATAAAGAATGTAATATTGTCAAAAAAAATAATACATATCCAATGGTTTTTAGCTTTAGTAATGACAACAATGATATAAATGTACCTTTAAAATTTTGTAACACGCAAATAGTTAAATGATATATAGCCACCGTAGCACACCATAACCCAAGACAAACAAAAATTATCAAAATCTACAACAAGCGCTACAATGCGTGCTTGCTCCGCCTATTTTAAAAATATAGCCACATAAAGAATTTGACACATCTTGCCAGTTCTGCCTGGAAAGGCAAAAGTCGTCGGAAACAGTACGCGCACATGAGAGCAACTTGCTCGCGCCACTTGACACGAATGACATTTTGCGAAGCACATAGCTCTCGTGTGCGCCGGGCTTAAAGAATTTGACACATCTTTGTTGCCCAGCCATAAAAAAAACAAACGAAAAGAAAAATTTACCGCGGAATTTGCCAGCAGCAAATCAACAATTACATCTCAATTAAATAGCTATGTAACTTGGCATTTCGACAATTCCTTCTACCTGTAAATTCTCCCCATTTCATATTACTCACAAAACATGATAAATTGATAATTCAGTAATGTCTACGTCAAAATATAATGTGCCGACGTAGGATCGTTTAATTGAGAGATATGATTAACAATGTACATATTTACTTTTTAAGCAAGTTGGGAGAAGGATAGGCCAGCATGAACATTGTGCATGATATGAGAGAATAATTATGCTATGGGCCCACGCTTTCAGATTCTTCTTTATGATTTGAATTTTACAGTAACTTAATTAAGTGAAGCAAAAAATGGTTAAAGAGTAAGAAATCTTAAGATTTTAAGTGCCAGTTTATAATTTAATAGCGACATAAAATACTTCAATATAAAACTGGTTGATTACAGAGTTTTGACGAGCCATCTTCAATGGTTCAGGGATGAATAAACATTGATTGTATAGTAAATAAGCAATTAAATGAGAGTACCTACTTATTGTACTGAAGTTGTGAACTAAAGTTGCGAAGTACTAGCAAACGCGAAAGGTCTTTAAACCCTGTGGACATTTGGCAATGAATCTGTTCAGTAAGCAAGGAAAAGCTTTAGCAATTCTAATGCGTTTGAAGGCCCTCTATAAGTGTTATAATGTGATATACAGTAAATGTGGCACTAGAAGAGTATCGTAAATGTGGCCCTCTAAGAGGGTTATAATGCGATTTACAGTCAATGTGACACTAGAAGAGTATCGTTGGATTTTAAATGCAGTAGTACCCTGCATACTGTGCCCTCGACGTCTGTTACCACTCGTAACAACTACAGGCGACTCATCAAAGAAATGCATACGGCTGCAATTAGTCAATGAAATATTTGCTACGTAAGCTTCTAACTTCTCCATAACGTCCGGCCGTTCTGTTTCTCGAGGAATTTGACTTATTATCTTGTTAGAGTAACCAAGATCTTTTTTCGAAATTCTACTAATGGATGAACTGCTAGGTATGTTTGCTGGAAGGAAAACTTTGTTATTTTCTAGGTGTTTCTGAATCTCTTTTGCGTAAATAGATGGTTTATTAATTTTTAGACATTCAGCGTATGCGATAACGTCATCTGTACGCGTGGTTCGAACATCACGTTCGCCCTGGCGAGATGCAATAGAACCAGTGTCTACCCATAGATCTATTATATTTGATATAGTCTTATACGGTAGACTTAGTTGTTTCAAAACGTTTGTCAAACGCTGGTTATTTAACCACCTTTCAAGTATTTCATTTCTTACTTCTATCGCTAAAGCTTTTCCTTGCTTACTGAACGGATTTATTGCCTAATGGCTACAGGGTTTAAAGACCTTTCGCGTTTGCCAGTACTTTGCAACTTTAGTTCACAACTTCAGTACTCAAGTACACAACTTCAGTACTCAAGTACACAACTTGTCAACTCAAGTTGACAAGTTCATATCGAATATTCCATATTTGAAAATGTAACCATTGATTGTATAGTAAATAAACAATTAAATGAGTGTACCTACATAATGATTACATATGAATGACATTCCGTTCAAATATATTCATAGTACTTATCAAAATATAGGATGATTTTGAAGACTATTTTCCATCTCAATTGTGGTTAAAATCTTAAATTTTTGAGGTTTATAAAACCATGCTATTGAAATTAGAGAGTATAAAAAGACTTTTCAGAACTCATTATTTATAAAAGCGAAGCTAAGTTGTGAATTTTAAGAGAGACAATACACATGACATTGTACAAGATATCTTTGAGAAATCAGCTTGTAAAAACAAAAGAAATGGGTGAGCAATGCATGTTTATTAATGATGGAGAAAATGCATCAATTTAGTCTTCAAAAATTTACTTAATCATTATCTTATAAAAAAGTTAAAGATAGTTTCATTTGTGATGACAAATTTGTTTGATGACATAATCATACGATTAATGAATTTATTTTTTTAATAATATAATTGAGTGATTTACTGAAACACAATACACCATAACCCAACATCCCTTGTATTTCTTCACGATAAAATAAATGCTCCATAAAATGAGCAGTTCACGTGTGCCACAATGAGCATTAGACGATGAATTTTCTGAAAAATAATCTTTGTCTTCTTTAGGTGTCTTTATCAGATTCAAATATACATGTATAATATGTGTGGTGTTCATGAGCAAGAATGTGCATTGTAAAACAGAGAACGAGACTACTAACAATAAACCAGGTACAAAAACAAATAATGATTTGAATCATGATGAAAATAAATTAACGTTAATATTCATTTTCTATAGTGTCAGTCCTCAAGGAAGAAGTTGTCTCAATTTATAATGAAAACTTCACTGACATTCCCAAGGACAGGGAGCCATATTATGTTAAAGTTCAACGATGTGTCATCGATAAAGATAAAATTCCTATATGTTCATTATGTTGGCCCCAACCTATGACATTGACAGAAGTCGAGATTGTCGTTCCTGATTTAAAAAACTACACAAAGTTTTACAAATATGTTGTATATAATCACACTTCTTGTTACCTGGAAAAGAACTTAATAGCCCTGAAGTTTAATCTACACAAGAATCTATCTTCAAACGAAAGTAAGGACTTCTGTATTTAATTAAAATTTAAACTGAGATCTAAATTTGAAACACCTTTCCCTTTGTGTTTACAGTTTACGACACAGAATTTACAACAAAAGTAAAATACAATCCACCAAACGTGAGAGCATGTAATGACTATTGCAAGCATCCACAACCTCGTTTTCATTTGCACAGTGAATATACAAAGGTTGTTTTAAATTATCTCTTTATCCCATTCACTCAATGCTTGCCTGGTTGCAAAGCAACAAAAAACACAAAGAACATCACAACACGAATCCTAGAGGGTTCAACCCCGTTGAAAGTCATTGAAGAACATAAATCTTGCAATCTCTGGAACAAAAAAGTCCAGGAGAGTACACCTTATCGTAGCAGACGCAGTGATACAGGTAAAAAATTTTCAATTATGATTGAAAAATTTAACCAAAAAGCGTTATGTGTGTGTAATTAGATGTGCACAACTTTTGAGAAAAATTGCAAAATAATCATGTTTTACGATTTGCTTCATGAACTTATTTCCATAAAATTTCTCTACAGAAAGTCGACCCCTCGTGCTAAATAAAGGATCATTTGTTTACATCACATCACCTAAAATGATGCTAGTTGCCTTCATTCTTTGACTGTCCTCATCTCAATACTCATTCTGGACTGTAATCTGTGTCATCGTAAGAAAGGAATAATGTATTCTATAAAAGTTGTGGAAAGAATGAAGAGTGTGAAGACTGCGTAAGAAGACAGCAGACTATGATAGAAATGGTTTAAGTATCAGTAGTTTTGTGTCACATTTCTGCTAAAAGGAAGACATGAATGAATAAAGCATCTGAAACCAGGCCCATCGGAAGCTGTGGGGATTGGGCAGGCTGCAACCTCTTTCAGTAATTTTCAAAATTGTTGTGAAAATTTAACAAGCCCAGCTTTTCCCGAATCTTCTAGGAGAAAGTCACATACCGTAGAGTCTCGAAATAATAAGCTGCCCGGGCTATTTTAATTTTAAAAAGGTGGCTAATTTAATGATGCGGTTACTTTCAGTGGAATGATATTTCGAGACTCTAAGATATTTGAATTTTCAGATCCACCCCCCCCATTCTTAGTTAGAGCTTCCGACGGCGGTGAAAACAAGAAATGGCTGAACATTGTGTTGTGCGACAAGATGAATGACGAACAAATCATGACACTCCACGCAACGCTATTAAACTGTATGGATTTTTTTTTAGCAGAAACTGTGAGCGTAATATTCTAATAATTGGATAATATTCTAATAATTGGATAATATTCTAAAAGCTGTATAACATTTGCACTAATTTCTGCCAAGTCAACATTTATACTAGATATTTTTAATTAAATTAAATTTTCTTTAGTGATATTAAACTGGAATTCATGACTATAGTGAATGTGATGAAAGTTGACGTGTTTTGAGAGCAGTAAAATGGGCAAGTTTTGTTGTTGCATATTTTAGCAACTTTTTGCTCATTTTGAGAGCATCCACTGAAGAAGGATTTTAAAAGCCTTTTTTCCTCGTAAACCAGAATAATAAGAGCAAAAGAAATGATCAAAGCTGACTTTGCAATATTTTGAGAGCAATGAGCGTAATATTCTAATAATTTGATAATATTCTAATAATTGGATAATATTCTAAAAGCTGTATAACATTTGCACTAATTTCTGCCAAGTCAACATTCATACTAGATATTTTTAATTAAATTAAATTTTCTTTAGTGATATTAAACTGGAATTCATGATTATTAGTGAATGTGATGAAAGTTGACGTGTTTTGAGAGCAGTAATATGGGCAAGTTTTGTTGTTGCATATTCTAGCAACTTTTTGCTCATCTTGCTCATCTTGTGGGCATCCACTGAAGGAGGTTTTTAAAAGCCTTTTTTCCTCGTAAACCAGAATATTAAGACCAAAGGAATGATCAAGTCAGTTGGCAGATCATCATTTCAAGAGCTTTCCTTTTCAGTGATAAGTTTATGGATTAGGCTGATTATTATAATAAAGAACGTCATTAAATAAATAGATCAGTAGCTAATCATTGCCAATTTTATGCTGATTACCAAAGAATAACACGTGCAAAATGTTAATATGGCGGACGATTTTTAAATTCTTTGCAATTCCAAAATAAAGCAAAGGAATAGATCGTTTTCGCCATCAACGAATTAATAAATGACACACAAGAATGTCGCCGAATCATCCAACAAATTTAACTTTGTTGCATTTTCAAAACGTTGTATAAAACGTCAAACTCACTTGACCTGTCTCGCTAAGTGGAACAGCAAGCCTATACACAATTTGAAGAGTCATCATGAAAAATTTTCATACACCCGCCTATTTAAATATATGACTTAGCCACTTTTGAAAGTGCAGTAATTCCAGTCTGGTAAAAGAGCATTGAAGGTCACAAAAGTCGTTTAACTGTCTCAATTCTGAAGAGCTAGACAGTATTTTGACTGAATTGATTAGTGATAAATGACTTAGGAATGTATCTATAATTTGCCAATCACAACAAATGATAGCCACAAGCAAGTTAAGAATTATTAATTATGTCGCGTATTATTCATTATTTGCATGTGTTATAGTAATCAATAAACCTTTCGTTGCTTTTTAAATTGATAGTAAGCGGAAGTTTTTATATTGCAGGTGATTATATTTTAGGAATGAAAAAAAATTAGTGAAAAGCACTTTCTAGCCAAAGTGAATTAAAAAAAATTAATGCCTGTTTTAATGCGAATTGCCGTCACTAAAATTTTACAATCGGGAACAACTGAATACATGAGTATCCTCCCCCTCCCCTCTCCAATTTACTGTTCTGTAGACGGTCCTGCTTTCACGTATTAAACTAGGGATCCAAGGATAGTGCAAAGTGTTGAGATATGCTCTCATATTCTTCCTGTAATTAGTAAATAATTAAGTCAAATGTAACTAACTAAATGATTATTTTAAGAGATACTTATGTGCAATAATCAAGATATTTTTTATAGTTCCTAATAGCTTTCCGTTGATTGTAAATTAACCATACTTAGTAAAGAAACAAATATATCCATACTTAATATCTTGTATAAATAGAAGTAGTTTCACCATTATAAGATAGATCGTTGACCATAGACATTGACGTTAAACATTAAATGTGATCGAAATAGTTATCTGTGATCTCTCTATTGTTCGTGTAAGTCAATATATACTAAAGAAGGTTGATGGCTACATCACAAAACCTCACACAAAGTTTCTAACAAAAAATGTTAGTAAACATGGGAAATAAAATTAGTTTTAAGAATGCGTAGTATCGCACCATGGCTTTTCAAAAAATGCTAAACAGACATTCATTTCGAGAAGTGCTTATCAAAGGCTAAGCAGTTTGTTTTTTGACGAATAGCTACAACTTGCTCCAAGATTGCGTAAATAAACGTTAATTTCGTATGCGCATTTACATACCGGACACATAATGAGGACATTTGGCACGCCACTATCATACATTCGTCATTCATGCATCACAACCTTTTATTATTACCATGCAGTATACAACTAATAAATTACAAAATCACTCTTGATTTCCTTTCTTTGTTTCGCTTGTGTTGTATTTTTTTTATTCTTCTGGCACATATAAGAAGTTCATGTGTTCAGAAGAGCAAAATGCTTTGTTTGCGATACTTTTAGCGCAAAATTCCACCTAATTAAATAACAAGGCAACGAGTAGTAAAATACAACGATATTCGATAAATATTTACTTAGTACAATTTGCATCAGTTGATAAACAAGTCCAGTTTTCGGTAAGTTTGCGTGAAGGAATATTCATTTCGTATTTGCATTTTCATTGGGATTACATGAAAGTCGACAAAGTCATACAGTCGTACTACATGACTTTCTTATATTGCTCAAAGCAATCTACAACTAATGCTTTCCTTTAAAAAACAGTAATAGTGCTCTTTATTTCTTGTGAAATTCTCCTAACCGAGGAAGATGTGTGCGCAACTTTCAATTTTACTGTCGTATCACATACAAGTCGTATGTTTAAGACAAATTCACTAACTGACCAACACATAGTGTATGTGTGTAGATAGACCAGAAGTTCAGAGCAGGTTCCTAAATAAACTGCGCTAATACATAAACAGTTGCAAATACGGCAATACAGCAAATACCGATATTCTTCACATTCTTATAAACTCGAGCTTACAAAATCTTCAAAATAATTGTCAACAATGCCAGCATCAACGAAAAGCGTTATAGTTATACACACAATTCATTATGCAGTTTGCACAAAAAATGGCGCAAGCGCATTTAGGTATTTCCTCTAAGAATTGGAGCTAATGAGGGTAAAACGGGGGGATACAATGTTATAACTCATCAAATTGGGACACAGGATGTACGGTTATATATATATAAACTGTTATATATAAATAAATTGTTAGTTTAGAATGAAACAATTAAATAAATGTCTTAGTTAATGTGAGTTGAAGTTGATGTTAAATTCTCTTCTAATAATCGCTGAAAAATTGATAATAAATCTCAAAAAAATCATTAAACATAAAATGAGCGTTGTTGCTAGACACCTCCGTTGTTGCTAAACACCAACAACGTGTTTTCCCACAACCGTGGGAAAGTGTAAATTATATTTGTAATCTAACAAGGATGCTCATCTCTTCAGTATAAATGATGATATAAGCGGTATACCATATGAAACATGTATATTTTTTAAAATTGTCGTTTAAATGAACAATAATATTTCTACCTAATATGACAAACCCAGCAGAAACTCTTCCCATACAGGCTATATACACAGTTATGGTTTCTGAAATATGATTTCCTTACGTCATCATTGGAATTGAATTGCGTCAAACTGACTTTGCAATATTTTGAGAGCAATGAGCTGCCTGAATTACTTATTACTTATTTCCAAAAGCAGACGAGTTGTTTTTTGTTATAGTAACTAACTAATTTGCAATTCTATATAGCTATCAAATAATTTTATGTTCTCGAACAAGTCATGGAGTTCATCTTATGAACAAAGAATGCAATATTGTCAAAAAAAAAATACATACCCAATCGTATTTAGCTGTAGTAATAAAAAAAAATGATATAAATGTAGCTTTAAAATTTTGTAACACGCAAATAGTTAAACGTAGCACACCATAACCCATGACAAACAAAAGTTATCAAAATCTAGAACAAGCGCTACAATGCGTGTTTGCTCTTCCTATTTTAAAAATATAGCCACGTAAAGAATTTGACACATCTTTGTTGCCCAGCTATATAAAAACAATCAAAAAGAAAAATTTAACGTGGAATTTGCCAGCAGCAAATCAAAAAAACTCTCGACGAGCCCTTTCGAATGAGCTATTGAAAATCGCCATATCTCAAATATTTTCCGTGATAGGAACTGCGCATGCGCAAAGGTATTTGTGCGTATTGTAGTAACGATAACCGGTTTGTTGGCTGCAAGCATTTAAAAAATAGCTCAACTGATCAAGACTGTTATTAATTTAAGATATTCACAACTATTAAACAGTTTTAAATGTTGAGTTTTGATTAATCATCTTCGATGTCTCAAAGTAATTTTACACATTTTAAGTAAAGTATATTTACCGTTTGTTACAATTACCACATAATTCTTATATGATTGCTAATTCGCCGTAGACGCAGGCGTTTACCAGCTTCTCGTCGTAAAACATGGACGAAGCGGTGGATTATGAGACGAGAAGCGCAAGGCGCATTTAATAACCTCATAGTCCACCGCTTCGTCCATGTTTTACGAAAAGAAGCAAGAAGTTCATATGAGATTTATTGAGCATGCGCTGTGATGATAACACAAAAGCAATTTGCTTCAAGACGCCGCACACGGACAAATCGACAAAGCATTTCGCCACGCGTGGCAAAAAATATCAAACATGTTTGATATTTGCCAGTTCTGCCTGGAAAGGCAAAAGTCGTCGGAAACACTACGCGCACACGAGAGCAACTTGCTCGCGCCACTTGACACGAATGACATTTTGCTAAGCACATAGCTCTCGTGTGCGCCGGGCTTAAAGAATTTGACACATCTTTGTTGCCCAGCTATATAAAAACAAACGAAAAGAAAAATTTACCGCGGAATTTGCCAACAGCAAATCAACAATTACATCTCAATTAAATAGCCATGTAACTTGGCATTTCGACAATTCATTCTACCTGTAAATTCTTCCCATTTCATATTACTCACAAAACATGATAAATTGATAATTCAGTAATGTCTACGTCAAAATATAATGTGCCGACGTAGGATCGTTTAATTGAGAGATATGATTAACAATGTAAATATTTACTTTTTAAGCAAGTTGGGAGAAGGATAGGCCAGAATGAACATTGTGCATGATATGAGAGAATAATTATGCTATGGGCCCACGCTTTCAGATTCTTCTTTATGATTTGAATTTTACAGTAACTTAAATAAGTGAAGCAAAAAATGGTTAAAGAGTAAGAAATCTTAAGATTTTAAGTGCCAGTTTATAATTTAATAGCGACATAAAATACTTCAATATAAAACTGGTTGATTACAGAGTTTTGATGAGCCATCTTCAATGGTTCAGGGATGAATAAACATTGATTGTATAGTAAATAAGCAATTAAATGAGAGTACCTACTTATTGTACTGAAGTTGTGAACTAAAGTTGCGAAGTACTAGCAAACGCGAAAGGTCTATAAACCCTGTGGACATTTGGCAATGAATCTGTTCAGTAAGCAAGGAAAAGCTTTTGCAATTCTAATCCGTTTGAAGGCCCTCTATAAGTGTTATAATGCGATATACAGTAAATGTGGCACTAGAAGAGTATCGTAAATGTGGCGCTCTATGAGTGTTATAATGCGATATACAGTAAATGTGGCGCTAGAAGAGTATCGTAAATTTGGCGCTCTATGAGTGTTATAATGCGATATACAGTAAATGTGGCGCTAGAAGAGTATCGTAAATGTGGCGCTCTAAGAGTGTTATAATGCGATATACAGTAAATGTGGCGCTAGAAGAGTATCGTAAATTTGGCGCTCTATGAGTGTTATAATGCGATTTACAGTAAATGTGGCACTAGAAGAGTATCGTTGGGTTTTAAATGCAGTAGTACCCTGCATACTGTGCCCTCGACGTCTGTTGCCACTCGTAACAACTACAGGCGACTCATCAAAGAAATGCATACGGTTGCAATCAATCAATGAAATATTTGCTACGTAAGCTTCTAACTTCTCCATAACGTCCGGCCGTTCTGTTTCTCGAGGAATTTGACTTATTATCTTGTTAGAGTAACCAAGATCTTTTTTCGAAATTCTACTAATGGATGACCTGCTAGGTATGTTTGCTGGAAGGCAAACTTTGTTATTTTCTAGGTGTTGCTGAATCTCTTTTGCGTAAATAGATGGTTTATTAATTTTTAGATATTCAGCGTATGCAATAACGTCATCTGTACGCGTGGTTCGAACATCACGTTCGCCCTGGCGAGGTGCAATAGAACCAGTGTCTACCCATAGATCTATTATATTTGATATAGTCTTATACGGTAGACTTAGTTGTTTCAAAATGTTTGTCAAACGCTGGTTATTTAACCACCTTTCAAGTATTTAATTTCTTACTTCTATTGCTAAAGCTTTTCCTTGCTTACTGAACGGATTTATTGCCAAATGGCTACAGGGTTTAAAGACCTTTCGCGTTTGCCAGTACTTTGCAACTTTAGTTCACAACTTCAGTACTCAAGTACACAACTTGTCAACTCAAGTTGACAAGTTCATATCGAATATTCCATATTTGGAAATGCAACCATTGATTTTATAGTAAATAAACAATTAAATGAGAGTACCTACATAATGATTACATATGAATGACATTCCGTTCAAATATATTCATACTACTTATCAAAATATAGGATGTCTTTGAAGACTATTTTCCATCTCAATTGTGGTTAAAATCTTAAATTTTTGAGGTTTATAAAACCATGCTATTGAAATTAGAGAGTATAAAAAGACTTTTCAGAACTCATTATTTATAAAAGCGAAGCTAAGTTGTGAATTATAAGAGAGACATTGTACAAGATATCTTTGAGAAATCAGCTTGTAAAAACAGAACAAATGGGTGAGCAATGCATGTTTATTAATGATGGAGAAAATGCATCAATTTAGTCTTCAAAAACTTACTTAATCATTATCTTATAAGAAAGTTAAAGATACTTTCATTTGTGATGACAAATTTGTTTGATGACATAATTCTACGATTAACGAATTCATATTATTAATAATATAATTGAGTGATTTACTGAAACACAATACACCATAACCCAACATCCTTTGTATTTTTTCACGATAAAATAAATGCTTCATAAAATGAGCAGTTCACGTGTGTAATAATGAGCATTAAACGATGAATTTTCTGAAAAACAATCTTTGTCTTCTTTAGGTGTCTTTATCAGATTCAAATATACATGTATAATATGTGTGGTGTTCATGAGCAAGAATGTGCATAGTAAAACAGAGAACGAGACTACTAACAATAAACCAGGTACAAAAACAAATAATGATTTGAATCATGATGAAAAAAAGTTAACGTTAATATTCATTTTCTATAGTTCCAGTCCTCAAGCAAGAAGTTGTCTCAATTTATGATGAAAACTTTACCGACATTCCGAAGGACAGGGAGCCATATTATGTTCAAGTTCAACGATGTGTCATCGATATAGATAAAATTCCTGAATGTTTATTATGTTGGCCCCAACCTATGACATTGACAGAAGTCGAGATTGTCGTTCCTGATTTAAAAAACGACACAAAATTCTACAAATATATTGTATATAATCACACTTCTTGTTACCTGGAACAGAACTTAATAGCCTTAAAGTTTAATCTACACAAAAATCTATCTTCAAACGAAAGTAAGGACTTCTGTATTTAATTGAAATTTAAACTGAGATCTAAATTTGAAACGCTTTTCCTTTTGTGTTTACAGTTAACGAAACAGAATTTACAACAAAAGTAAAATACAATCCACCAAACGTGAGAACATGTAATGACTATTGCAAGCATCCACAACCTCGTTTTAAACTTTACAGTGAATATGCAAAGGTTCTTTTAAATGATCTCTTTATCCCATTCACTCAATGCTTGCCTGGTTGCAACGCAACAGAGAAAATAAAGAATGTCAAAAGAGAATTCCTCGATGGTTCAACCCAAAATGAAGTTGTCAGGAATCACTTATCGTGCAATTTTTGGAATACAGAAGTCTATAAAAGTCCACCTTCTAATAGCACACGCAGTGATCCAGGTAAAAAATTTTCAATTATGATTGAAAAATTTAACCAAAAAGCGTACTGTGTGTAATTAGATGTGCACAACTTTTGAGAAAAATTGCAAAATAATCATGTTTTACGATTTGCTTCATGATCTCATTTCCATAAAATTTCTCTACAGAAAGTCGACCCCAGGTGCTAAATAAAGGGTTATTTGTTTACATCACATCACCTAAATTGATGTTAGTTGCCTTCATTCTCTCGACTGTCCTCATCTCAATACTCATTCTGGACTGTAATCTGTGTCATCGTAAGAAAGGAATAATGTATTCGATAAAGAGTTGTGGAAAGAATGAAGAGTGTAAAGACTGCGTAAGAAGACAGCAGACTATGATAGAAATGGTTTAAGTATCAGTAGTTTTTGTGTCACATTTCTGCTAAAAAGGAAGACATGAATGAATAAAGCATCTGAAACCAGGCCCATCGGAAGCTGTGGGGTTTGGGCAGGCTGCAACCCCCTTTCAGTAATTTTCAAAATTGTTGTGAAATTTAACAAGCCCCAGCTTTTCCCCAAATCTTCTAGGAGAAAGTCACATACCGTAGAGTCTCGAAATAATAAGCTGCCCGGGCTATTTCAATTTTAAAAAGGTGGCTAATTTAATGGTGCGGTTACTTTCAGTGGAAGGATATTTCGAGACTCTAAGATATTTGAATTTTCAGACCCCCACTCTTACTTAGAGCTTCCGACGGTGTTGAAAACAAGAAATGGCTGAACATTGTGTTGTGCGACAAGATGAATGACGTACAACTCATGACAATCCACGCAACGCTATTAAAGTGTATGAATTGTTTTCAGCAGAAACTGTGATCGTAATATTCTAATAATTGCATAATATTCTAAAAGCTGTATAATATTTGCACTAATTTCTGCCAAAACATTTATACTAGATATTTTAATTACATTAAATTTTCTTTATTGATATTAAACTGGAATTCATGATTATTAGTGAATGCGATGAAAGTTGACGTGTTCTGAGAGCAGTGAAATGGGCAAGTTTTGTTGTTGCATATTCTAGCAACTTTTTGCTCATCTTGCTCATCTTGTGGGCATCCACTGAAGAAGGTTTTTAAAAGCCTTTTTTCCTCGTAAACCAGAATATTAAGACCAAAGGAATGATCAAGTCAGATGGCAGATCATCATTTCAAGAGCTTTCCTTTTCAGTGATAAGTTTATGGATTAGGCTGACTATTATAACAAAGAACGTCCAATTAGATTAGAGAAGTAAATTTAGTAAAGTCAAAAGAACCAGTTGAAACTTTGGTTACCTTTCATGCACGAGAATGTGTTTATATAACTGCGTTTTCTTTTCTTTGATTGTGGACTAAATCAAGCATGAATAGACTACTTTAAGTATAAAGAGTAAATTGATAAAATCTTGGATAATAACTGAACCAAACGCAATAATGACCAAATCAATTCAAGTGTTTTAGGGAACAAGCAACTTTTTATTTGCAAATATAGTGGCAAGAAAATCGTTATTTTTGTAGATAAAACGTTTGTTACTTGCACCGCAATTAACGTAGCCGATATTCCGTCTTATGTCCAGCGTATCAGTGGCGTGCGTCACGAAGCCAGAGTAGGTCCCTGGGACCAATGGGAAAATACTGGCCCTTCTTAAAAAATGTTAGCTTTTGCGCAACAGAAAATTATTTCATAAGAATCATAACTATCTTCTCCTTTCTCTTTTGAAATATAAATATCATATTTTCCTTCATAAATTATTTAATTATATGTTTAAAAGATAGTTATATTGAGTTTCATTGAAGTTGATTTAAATTTTATATGTGTGGTTGGTCATTAAATAAATAGATCAATAGCTAAATCATTGCTAATTTTAGGCTGATTACCAAAGAATAACACGTGCAAAATGTTAATATGGCGGACGATTTTTAAATTCTTTGCAATTCAAAAATAAAGCAAAGGAATGGACCGTTTCTGCCCTCAACGAATCAATAAATGACACACAAGAATGACGCCGAATCATCAAACAAATTTAACTTTGTTGCATTTTTAAAACGTTGTATAAAACGTCAAACTCACTTGACCTGTCTCGCATTGAAGGTGAAAAAGTCGTTTAACTGTCTCAATTCAGAGATTTTCCTGAAGAGCTAGACAGTATTTTGACTGAATTGATCAGTGACAAATGACTTAGAATGTATCTTAATTTGCCAATCACAACAAATGATAACCACAAGCAAGTTAAGAATTATTAATTATGTCGCGTATTATTCATTATTTGCATGTGTTATAGCAATCACTAAAACTTTCGTTGCTTTATAATTTGATAATAAGCTGAAGTTTTAATATTGCAGGAGATTATATTTTAGGAATGAAAAAAAAAATAGTGAAAAGCACTTTCTAGCCAAAGTGAATTAAAAAAAATTAATGCTTGTTTTAATGCAAATAGCCGTCACTTGAACGTTACAATCGGGAACAACTGAATACATGAGTATCCACCCCTCCCTCCCAATTTACTGTTCTGTAGAGGGTCCTGCTTTCACGTATTAAACTAGGTATCCAAGGATTATCGTGACTAAAACACCACACGAGTACATACGAGTACATACGAGTACATACGAGTAACATACGAGTACATAGGAGTGACATACGAGTACATACGAGTAACATACAAGTACATACGAGTAACATACGAGTGACATACGACTATTTTCTGGTCAACAAATGAGAAACAACACAATTTCTTCAATACATTGATATTTGCGTTTATTTTTCCTTGTATTTGTGTGGAATTTGGAGCAACCTTTCGATGGATTTAAATGCTGAAAAGGTATTTTACTTTCATACTACATTCATTTGTATGTTTTAGTTGAATTTGTTATAGATATTTTGTCGATGCGATTTGCCAGTATTTGAGCGCTTTTTGACACACTTTCACCAAGGAAATACATATTTATGAAAGCGATTATACATTCATTTTGGTCTTTAAGATACTGATTTTGCAGTTAAAAGACTGAATTATATCAGCTAGAACTTTAAAAACATGAAAAGTAAGCTGAAATTGTACGCATAATATAATATATATACGTAACACAGTGCAACTCTCATTTAATTCAAATATATATAATGTACATTTATTTCATATAGCACGTTTTGAAAGCTTTATTTATACGTTGTTTATTTAATCGCTTTCATAAATATGTATTTCCTAGGTGAAAGTGTGTCAAAAAGCGCTCAAATACTGGCAAATCGAATCGACAAAATATCTATAACAAATTCAACTAAAACATACAAATGAATGTAGTATGAAAGTAAAATACCTTTTCAGCATTTAAATCCATCGAAAGGTTGCTCCAAAGTCCACACAAATACAAGGAAAATAAACGCAAATATCAATGTATTGAAGTTGTCTCTCATTTGTTGACGAGAAAATAGTCGTATGTCGTATGTACTCGTATGTTACTATGTACTCGTATGTTACTCGTATGTACCAGTGAACTCCATATATATATATATCTGGAATGATAACGACAATACATTTTATAGATAAAAAGTTGAAGCCAAAGTCCTAGTCTCTTGCGCGGTTTGTACGTCAGTTCCAGTCCTTCAAAGTCGAATGTTCACGCGGTTTGTACGTCAGTATCATTCCCCTGAGTGCCAAACATACACGGCCAATATAAATTTGAATACAAATTGCAAAAGCATAAACATATAAACAACATGACGACAAACAACACACGAGGCCAACTCTTCGCAAAAGGTTATTTTTTACAGCTGAAACTTTACTACAGTGAGTTCGTTGTAACTTACAACTTAAAACTAGGAAAAGCCAACTGAAAATTACACTGTATGCTAAAAAGACAATACAATAAGAAAATATGACGAGAAAATATTCAAGCAAACATTTTTGTTACATCGGAAGGTAAATTTTCGAACGGTGTCAGACAGTGTTTGTCTTTTTTTTGTCAATTCAGTGGATTTAAAGATCTGTTTTTCCGAAGAAAAAAACTTGAATATCCAGTTTCATAAAAATATTGAGTTTATAACTCCCATTTTACTTTTACAGAGCGGTTGTATTTTCATCGATTTTAATAGTGCTTGAAATACTAAATGGTTGTCATCTCGATATCAATAATTGAATATCCTTAAAGACTTTGATTTGTTTTAAAGGAAAACCGCAGCGTAAGAGCAGATCGACTAAGTTCACCTCACCTTGCTTTTCGATTTATCACTTTGATTCACTTTCCGTGAACCTTTTCATTCCAAAAATTTCGTTATTTTTACGCTCTGATCAAGATCCGAACTCTATCATTACCAAGGCACAAATGATTTAAAAAAATTAAAATGAACATGCGAGAGACTAGAGCCTGACGGGTAATGACGAATGATGACGACAAATATTTTTTTGGCTTCAATTTTTGGCTTCGGTTATCATTCCAGTTATTCAAATGTCGAGTTCACTGGTATGTACTCGTATGTACTCGTGTGGTGTTTTAGTCACGATCATCCAAGGATAGTGCAAAGTGTTAAAATATGCTCTCATATTCTTCCTGTAATTAGTAAATAATTAAGTCAAGTGTAACTAACTAAATGATTATTTTAAGAGATACTTATGTGCAATAATCACAATATTTTTTATAGTTCCTAATAGCTTTCCGTTGATTGTAAATTAACCATACTTAGTAAGAAACAAATATATCCATACGAAATATCTTGTATAAATAGAAGTAGTTTAACCATTGTAAAATAGATCGTTGACCATAGACATTGACGTTGAACATTAAATGTGATCGAAATAGTTATCTGTGATATTTCTATTGTTCGTGTAAGGCCTGTTTTATACGTCGAATTTCCGTCGAATTTAATCTGTCGAATTTAATGCGTTGAATTTTATTCGACGGAAATGCGACGTATAAACCGAATATCTTCAACGCGTCGCATTAAATGCGACGCTGTCGTGTTAAGCCTCATTTCCACCTATCGCACGAATCAACTCGCAGCTCGCTGCGAGAACTCGCCATTGTTCGTGTCTGTTTCGAGTACTCGTTGTTTGATAACTGTTTTTTAGCGAGCTAAGGAAAAAAAATGGCGGTCGCTTAAGGAGTGAAGAATGAGTCCTTTGACTAGAAAGCAAATAATTCTTTTACTCTATTTGCGAAGTCAAAGAATACAGCGTGAAAAATACCGCAATACCGCAAACGTTTTTGGATCAGGCCGATATTCCAAAAGAGATCTCAACATAGCGAATTTTTCACTTTAGCGAAGGAATTACGAGATGGAGACCACGAAGGTTATTTCCACAATTTTAGGATGTCACCTGATCAATTCGATTATTTACATAGCCTTGTGGGATCCCTTAAAAAGAGCGATAAAAGTCGTGATGTCATTAGTTCAGAAGAACGATTAGCGTTGACACTTTGCTATTTAGCATCAGGAGACAGTCCACGAAGTTTGTCTTTCAGTTATAGAATAGGAGTGACAACTGTACAAAATTATTTCGAATACCTGTTTGGCAATTTGGAATGCTCTTTTGTCAAAAGGATTTTTGAAAGCTCCCAGTTCACCGTATGAGTGGTTAAAAATAGCTGATGAATTCAAAAGAATCTGGAACTTCCCTAATTGTTGTGGGACCATTGATAGCAAGCACATAAAAATACAAGCACCAGCAGGATCAGGGAGTTTGTACTATAATTATAAACACTGGCATAGCATTATTCTCATCATAGGCGTACGGGGGGGGTGGGCTGGGGGGGCTGCAGCCCCAATTTCTCGAGAATTTGTGTATTCGGGCAAGCATTTACATGATATTCTGGCAAGATACTTACTACAGTTTTTAAATTTTCAATATTAATCTACATCATTTCTAGATCATAAACTGCTTCGGTTCTTGAGCGTGAACGGTCTTTTAATGGATGGTTTTAAATTGTTTAAATTACTTAAATTTCAGGAGGTAAAATAAAAATCGCGTAAAGTGATTGGGTGCAAAATTTTTCTTGAGACATAATAGGAGAATTTTACATCCGCCCCATTATAATATAAACAAATTACGTCACGAGAAATCGGTCTATTTACTAGCGATATTGCGACGAATATATTCGGTGTTTACAACTTTTAAACGAACACGAACGCCGATATTTTCAATCAGAGCAAAGCTTTTGGTATTAAATTTATCCACATAACGTTCTCCATTTATAAAAAAGGGCTGAGGTCAGTAAAAGTCTTGAAATGTCTTGAAATTGCGAAAAATCGTCTCCCACACGCTATCCGTTATACATTAATATATAGATTAACAATCGCTGCGATCCCCAAAAGTGATTTTTAATTTTGCATGAAAATTAGGCTTCGTATGGAGAGGCACTGTCCATTCCATTGATTAGATTAGTGCCATTCACTCTATGATTGTTGTTCAAGGAAACTATTATCCACAAGGGGAAAACATTTAGTAGCCAAGCTCTAATAAAGCGTACATATGGCGTCTCGTAAACGACCGTATCGACATCGCGTTTGGTGCGAGGAATGCAGCAAGGAAATTGACAGTGATTATAAGGAGGTCCACTTTCGACGAGTTCACAATAATGAAAAGTTAAGTGTCATCGAGTGATGGATTCATCGGATTTATCGCAGTCAAAGATCAGTGGTTTCTTTGTAAAAAGTAACATGACAACCAAGGATGATAACCTAACCTTACAGGAAACAGAATCGAGTGCTAGTAAAGATTTAGCAGCCACTGGGTCTTTTGAGGAAAATCTACCTGAGATTAATTTGAAGGAGCCCATAAGCGAAGACCAAACGGAACCAATGAGAACGTTTATTGATGTTGATGAATTAAATCCACTGACGCAGTTCAGAGAAAATAAAGAATTGAATACGGTCACGGATAATGAAAATCTTACTTCCAGTGACGCACTGTTCATCGAAGAATTTAACTTAAATCAAAATATACAACGCGTTGCAACACCAGAATCAACGACGACGTCTAACACTCTAGACACAACAGCAATACAAGATTTAGATTCAACAGCATCTGTTCTAAATGAACAGACTAGAAAGGTTTCCTTAACAGTATGAATGAAGAAGAGATTTCCACCTTGCACGCCCCAAAACAGCCTATATTAGGTGAATATCCTGCACGAAAATTCGGCAGTGAAACATTTGTGCGACGATTTCAGCCTGAATGGTACAAGAAATATCCATGGATTAGTTACGAAGTGGATAAAGATGCATGCGTTTGTTTTGCCTGTAAAGAATTTGGGAAGAATACTTCATTTGTGCTTACAAATTGGAAGAAGTCGTCAAAGCTGGCAAAACATGGCAAGAGTGAGAACCACGTCAGATCCATGACAAGATGGCTCCAGTTTAAAGCAATGGAAAGAAAGAAAACCTCCGTACTACAACAGCTGAATAGTGCACACCAGGACCAGGTTGCTATTAACAGACAATACTTAAAAGTAATCATACAATCTTTGATGTACACTGCACAACAAAATGTTGCAATTAGAGGTCATGAAGAGATTCGGGGTGATATATGGGAGATATCTGATATAAATAGAGGAAACTTTCTCGAGTTACTTTGCATAAGATGCAACGATTTGCCTTGGCTGAAATCTAAACTTCAAAGCCAGCTGCAGACACATGCTCAGTGGACATCCCCTGCTATTCAAAATGAACTACTGGAAATAGTAGCAAGTGTCATGCTTGAGAGGATAGCAGAAGAAGCAAGAAGTAGCGACTACTACGGAATAGTTGTCGATGAAACGGCAGACATCAGTCGAACAGAGCAATTATCTCTTTTCCTCAGATATGTTTTCAATGGCGAAACCAAAGAGACATTCACTGGTTTCTATTCAACCAAATCTACGGAAGGAGAAGTATTGTATGAGCTGTTAAAGACAGCCATTGGCAGGCTAGAGTTGACATTGGAAAACATTGTCGCAGAATGCTTTGATGGCGCTGCAAATATGAGTGGCCCTCGCAAAGGACTTGCTGCACGCATGAAGGAGTGCTCACCTCTTAGCATCTATGTTCACTGCCATGGGCATCGGCTTAACTTGGCGCTACAAGATACGATGACTACAATTGAGCCACTTCAGAAAGCTTTAGGTGTGATCCAGAGTCTCCATAATTTCTTGGAAGGAAGTCCCAAACGCCACTCCATCTTCAATGACATCAAGGTCGAAGATGAGGACGAAGATATTACACTGACTATTAAATCGCAGAGTGCTACTAGATGGTCTTGTCGTTGGGCAGCTGTAAAAGCAGTAGTAAACCAATTACCTAAGATCATCGAGGTTCTCCTTACACTCTCAAAAGATCGCGATCCGAAGACCTACAATGACAGCAATTCGCTACTTAACTCGATTTGCGACTTTCGGTTCGTTTTTGGTTTGATGGTATTAAAGGTTATTTTATCTAACACCGATGGTTTGAGCAGGTACCTACAAGGAAAGCAAATGGATGTCGCCACAGCAAAGAAGAGTGTTGATGGCGTGATTAAGACATTAATTGGATGTCGTTCCCTCGAAAATTTCGAACTGTTATGGTCACGGGCTGAAATCATAGCACACAAAATTAAGGAGCAAATTGAAGGTACAGAATTCAATTTCAAAGATGCAAAAGTACCAAGATTCCAACAGCCGTCACGGCGGCTCCAAGCTCTCGTCGGTGAAATGGCTGAAGTAAATGCAGAAGTGGAAAATCGAACAGAAAAAGATTACTATCGTATCACATGCTACTACCTAAGCATTGACAAGATTGTGGCGGAGATGAAATCAAGATTTGAAGGTAGTGATCAAGAGGTCCTATTGGCACTTGCAGATATTGTGTTCAACAGGTCTCCAACCACGGCGAATGTTGAGTTGGTATCACACTTCTATGGTATCGACAGTGAGCTTCTTAGTAGCGAGAAAAATGTCTTTGAGAATATTGACGTTGATTTCCCTTGTGCTGAGAGAGAAAACGCTGCCAAAATTGTTAAGAGAATGTTCGAAAATGGTGTTCATGAAGTCCTGCCTGTGGCTTACAAAGTATTTTCGATTCTGGCCGCGATCCCGGCAACATCCTGCTCAGCAGAAAGATCTTTTAGCGCTCTTCGTCGCTTAAAACCTATCTTCGAAGTACAATTGGTCAAAACGGTTAAACAGCATTGCCCTAATCAATGTGGAAAGAGCCTATGCAAATAGTACTTTAAAGAACGACATGGAAAAGATAATTAACATTTTTGGACAGCGACGTAATCGTAAATCTTATTTCTTTTAGTCTTAGATCGTCGCACATTTAACTAACTAAATTTCTTCTGCGTCTAGTGTTATATATGACAAAATTTCAAATATCAAATAAAATGTAGTTACTTTCGTAGCATCCTCTTAGCAAATTGTAATGATTTTAGCTTATTAATTGAGATGGCCAGAGACAACATAAGAATATCTATGACGTCATACGTCATATGACGTCATATAATTCGGGCAAATTTAGTCCAGCTCCCCCTAAAAATATGTGCCCGTACGCCTATGATTCTCATGGCTATTGCTGCAGCAGACTATTCATTCATATTAGTTGACATTGGCGATAATGGTCGTCATAGTGATGGAGGTGTGTTTCAGAATTCTAAATTAGGTATTGGGTTGCTGTCAAATTCTCTTCAACTTCCTGAACCATGCTGCATAAGTAATAGAATGAGTACTTTTCCCTTTGTCTTTGTTGGTGATGAAACATTTCCATTGATGAAAAATCTGATGCGTCCCTACCCTGGCAAATTTCTACCACAACATGAGCAAATTTTCATCTATCGCCTTTCCAGGGCCAGAAGAGTTGTTGGAAATGCATTTGGCATTGCTGCCTCAAGATTTCGAATATTGAGAAGGGGAAATTATTGCCAAACCTGTGAAAGTTGAGAGGATTACCATGTAGTTGCACTTCATAATTTCCTGATAAAGTCGGAGGCAAAACAACAAGCATGTTCTAGACAAAATTTACCCCATGGTTTTGTGGACAGTGAGGACAGGTATGATTAGATTCCTTAATTTTTTTCAAGAATACCATACTTCAAAAATTTTAATGAATCAATTTTGATGAACTCAAACTGATGTGAAATATTCTTGACTTCATAGACAAATTTGAGAAGAGATTTCATTTGCAAGAGAATTATTATCTTTATCCCTTATTTTAGAAATGGAAAAATTTTATTGGGCTTATGGAGAGCCTCTGTGGAGAATGCACAAGGCTTAAAGTCAATTGGGAGACAAGGCTCAAATTTTTATAGGATGCCTCAGAAGTACGAGATCAATTTAAAGAGTATTTCATGAAACCAGTGGGTGAAGTTCCATGGCAGCAAAATCATACTAAAGAAGATAGATGGCTACATCACAAAACCTATCACAAAGTTTCTAAGAAAAATTGTTAGTAAACATGGCAAATAAAACTAGTTTTAAGAATGCCTAGTATCGCACCATGGCGTTTCAAATATGCTAAACTGAAATTCATTTCGAGAAGTGCTTATCAAAGGCTCAGCAGTTTGTTTTTTGACGAATAGCTACAACTATTCCAAGATTGCGTAAATAAACGTTAATTTCGTATGCGCATTTACATAGCGGACACATATGCGTGGTTTCCATATGATCGTTTCTGTCGCTAGAGTCGTTTCTGTCTGTTGAAAAAAGTCCCCTGCGGTGATCAAACGACAGAAGCGATTATCGCGATGAACTGGTTTCCATTAATCGTATGCATCGTATCTAATTTGAACTAGTCACCATACACTTACTATATGATATATTCAAAATGGCGGCAGTCAATCGAAGAGGAAGACTTGTAGCGTGTTATTTTCTTTTGCGTGTGCTAAGAAGAAGGAGAGAGCGAAAGCAAAAAAGAAAACATGGGTTTGGGTTTTAATATTTCGAAAATTTGTTATATAAACAATCATACTTCTGTACTTCATAATGAGGACATTTGGCACGCCACAATCATACATTCGTAATTCATGCATCACAATCTAGCGTTGTTGTTGAATCCTCATTATCCGGTCAAAAGTATAGACTTTCAACCGTGGGAAAGTGTAAATTATATTTATAATCTAACAAAGATGCTCATCTCTTCAGTATAAATGATGATATAAGCGGTATACCATATGAAACATGTATATTTTTAAATAATTTCTAATTAGCAGCAATTTTAAAAACACTTGAGAAAACGACGATTTTTTGAGAGCAAACATGTTTCGACATTATCAGAATGCCATCTTCAGTGCAGAATGATTAGTGTTAAGTAATATGATACATAATATGATATGAGTAAATTAATTACAATGAGTATTAAGTATTACCATAATTTCTAATTAGCAGCAATTTTAAAAAACACTTGAGAAAAACGACGATTTTTTTGAGAGCAAACATGTTTCGACATTATCAGAATGCCATCTTCAGTGCAGAATGATTAGTGTTGAGTAATATGATACATAATATGATATGAGTAAATTAATTACAATGAGTATTAAGTATTAATAACTATAACGTAAGTTCTAAAAATAAGTATTAAGAATTTATAACAAAAGTATTATTATAAAGTAAATATAGTGTTGTAGTGGTGAACTTGGATATTTAAATCGGGATTAGTTTTATTAATGTGTAGAGCTTCCTTGATTTTGAGTGAGAAAGTGGATTGATCAGTGTCGATGATTTTAAAACAGGAAGGTGAGAATTTGTTTTTACATGAAGGAGAGGCTTGAAGATGTTTGTAGATAGTGGAGTTTCTGTCTGTGTGAGTATGTTCCTTTATCCTGGTAGATAATTGGCGAGAAGTTTCACCAATGTAACGGGAATTACATCCCGCACATGAAAATTGATAAACTACCATAGATTTGGAAAGTTCGGGAAGTGGGTCTTTAAACGAAAATAAAGATTTTATTTTGAAAGATGTGAAAATAAGTTTAACGTCAATGTCAGTGCAGTAGCGTTTAATGATTTGTGTGAGTTTGCGTTGTGTGTGTCGTGAGTAATCACCTATGTAAGGTAGTTTGAAATAACGTTTATTGTCAGGTTGTTGTATATCGTTAGTGTTAGTTGTGGAGTTAGATGAGTCAGTGCTTTTCTTGTTGTCCAAATAGTGTTGTATAGTGTTGTTGATGAAATGAAAAGGAAAAGAATTACGTTGGAGAGTGAATATTAGTTTCTTTAAATCACGTTGAAAGCCGATGTCTGTGTTGTTGAGTTTCCGTGCTCTGTCGGTCAGTGTTTTGCCCATACTTACCCCGTCAATTTGGTCGTAGTACTTACCGTTAAATAAAAAATGAGTCTCGGCCGTAGTGATGTTAAACAATAGTTTTAGTTCTGTTCTGCTCATTTTGAATGTAGGGTTGTTGGTAAAAATTAAATCAATAGCAATGTCTATGGTTTCGGTCAGTGGTATGTTGGTAAAAAGGCTTTCAACGTCAAAAGTAATAAAGAATTTGTCATGTGGAGCGTTAGTGTTAAAAGATAAAAAATCATCGATAAAACTAAAAGAATCTTTAGTAGAATGGTCATTAGGTATTAGGGGTTGGAGTAAAGAGCTGAGGTATTTGGCTAATTTGTAGTTATACGAATTGATTGAAATTTATAGGTCTGATAGGGTATGTCATTGATATCGTTTAATTTATGAAGTTTAGGTAAACCATATAATCGAGCTGGCTGTGAACCTCTAGGGTACATTTCTTGAAATGATTTTTCGTCTATAGAGTTTTTCTTTAAGTTACGTAGCAGTCGTTGTAACTTTGCTTCACGGGAAAGTGTAGGATCATGATCAGTGGTTTGAACTTAGATAAATTGTTAATTATAGTGAGATCCATA